AGCTTCTTTTTCCTTTTCCTCCAAGCAGGGAATCCAAGAGAGGGATGGTGTTCTTTTACACTCCGTGATGAAAAAGTGAATAAATCACATTCCCCCATGCTTAACATGTCCAATGCTGAACGCACCGTGTTGTCCCCAAAGTGCCTTCTTCTCTGGCATTCCCCATCTTGGGCAACAGCACCACATCTACCCAGTTTCCCAGTCTAGAAATTTCCCAATCGTCAGCACTCCTCCCTGTCACCTCCTTTCTGTCCCCTGACCTTGCCCTTTGCAGAAATTCTTAGTGGAAAAATACTTGTATCTAATCAGTCAGCTTGGGCTCCCATCCCAGCTTCACCCCTTGCTACTAGCTGTGTGATTTGGCCTAGGCTGGACGGGAGAGCTTGGCTTCTAGAAAGTAGGACAGGCTGAGATCCATGTAGGGTTGTGGCATGACAACTTGCTAGCCCTTTGACCTTTCTGAGCCATAGTATCTTTTCTGAAAAATGCTCATAATAATAGTACCCAGCTTTCAGGGATTTGATGTATGCAAAATGTTTAGACCAACGCCTTGATGCATGCTAGATGTCCAATAAATGTTAATAAATAGTAGTTATTGTTACTATTACAACAGGAAGCTCACTAGCAGCCTCAGCCTATGTGTGCAGTGTGGCCTAGAATTAAACACTGGTGCCAAACCCCATTTCTTGGTTGGGCCAGGTGTTCACTCTGGATGCTTTTGTCACCATGAAGCTTTAGCTTACCTCTACCACCTTCCACGGATTGCTATGGTTCTGGTGAATTAATAGGCTTGATTCTTCTACCTTAAAACTCCTCTTGCTTGGCTGAGTAGTGATCAGTAGAGAGTGGATGAATTCCTTTGACCTAGTGCCACCTCCCACTGACTTGGAGAATCACCCGCCATGCCATGTGCATAGGTTCAGCACCCCTGAGCTGTTAAAGACTGCATCTCCTGAACTTTGACAATAACATCTTGCAATAGTTCTACTAGTTGGGCTTTGCTGTTGAAGGTTCATTTTCCTCAGACCCTCTTCTGCCTGGCCTTGGCTTCTTCCCCAATTCCCTCTCAATGTTGCTGAGTGTGGCAGTTGTTTTTTTCCAAATATGGCTGCCACCAAAGCTCCCATGCCACAGGCTCTTCTACACTGGGAGCTGCCATTCCTCTATTAGGAAGTGGAGAGGAATTCCCTTCTTGAATGTGTGTTGGCCTTGCTGACTTACCTAATAATTAATATTGTGATTCTTATTAATTCATATTATTTATTGTTATTTGGCTGTCTCTCATCACTCAGGGTTATAGCCTAGGCTTTCTTACATAGTGGTGGAGCATTCGAAGAGAGCAAAGGCGAAAGCTGCAAGGCTTCTTGAAGTCTAGGCTCTGGAATGCACAGTGTCACTTCCACCATATTTATTATTGGTCAAATTTCCCTATGTCTCTGTCCATCTCTCCATCTATAATATGTATTCAGGTTAATAATTAATAGAATGTGGCAGAAATGGCATCGTGTGACTTCTGAGCTAGGACAGAAAGGGCCATGCAGCTTCTACCTTGATGTCCTGGAGTTGTAACCATGAATTACTCCTTCTCAGGGCACTCTCTCTTGAACCCAGTCGCCATGATGTGAGCAATGCAAGCCATGTGGAAAGGCCACATGCAGGTGCTCCAGTTAACAGTCTCAGCTCAGCCTGCCCTTCAGCTGTCCCAGACCAGGCACCAGCCATGTAAGCAATTACAGATGGAGAGAAGCCGCAAGAGCCCATTGAGATGTAAGCTCTAGAACTCAGTGTCCCTTCCACTATATTCCATTGGTTAAAGCAAGAGGCGAGTCAGTCCAGATTAAGGGAGTCGAGGAGATAGACTCCACCTTTTAACGGGAGGAGCTGCACAATCTTGTGGCTGTATTTATGGCAGCCTATCTTTCCCTCAAGGTCAAGTTCATGTGCAAGCATTCTCTATTCTAGTCATTAATTCATCCTTTCATTCGGCCATCCATTCCTTCACTTAACAAAAAAACTATTATCATGTACTTTGTGTAAGCCGGCAGCTGGGCACTTAGCAGAATACGGAGGCAAACTCACTATGGCCTCACCACCTTCTGTCTCTACTTCTTGATCCTCCTTATCTTATTATGTTGTCATCGTTGACACATTTAATTTTCTGAGTAGACTGTGAGGTCCTGGAGGCGAGAAGTGGTGTCTCATCTCACTTTTTGTGTGCGTGAGTGACAAAGTGTTATTTTAGAGCTAATAATATTTTTGTCTTTGTTTTGTATTGTTCCTGAAGGGTGGGAGCATGTCTTTCTGTGGAGGAAGACTGCTGTTTTATTTAGGGCAAAGGGCTCATCACTTTGATGATGTAAAGCTTTTCACATTTCATAGAAAAGTGAAGGGCAAAGCAAAAGTACAAGCCTGAACATACAAGCCTGGAGACCTCTCCATTCGTGCTTGTCGTGCCAGGAGGGGATGTAAAACCCCTGAGTTAAGCCTTGGAGGGAGACTAGACAGGTTTCTCCACAGGAAAACAGTGACCAGGGCTCTTTATCCTTTGGATGTCACAATCTCATTCCTTTGGTGAAATGCTGTTCAATACAGTGAGCCAACAATTGGACTTGGTAGGAACTGTTAATTTCATATCCTGGGAAAACATGGAGGAATGATTTTATTAGTTCTGTAGTTTAACACAACCAACCAGGCAGGTACTCAGTTTGAGTCAAATGGGTTTGTTTATTTAATATAAATGAGAAGAAGCAAATTCCTCTTCCGTTCAAGGATATAAGAACTAAGATTTTTGTGTAGCATCTTGTCAGTTAGTTGGATTTTTCTTTTTATGCCATTTGTTCCTGCTTATAAAAAGTGCATACCCACTTTGCCAAACTCACAAATGTATGTCCACACAGGTAGATCTAGGTACTCCTTTCCACATGCACACGTAACCTGGATCAAATAGTTGGAAGGGTTATAGCTTTTTCTTTTTCACAAAATTGGGATTCTAGTGTACATATATTTTCACTTAACATTATCACAAGTACTTTCCCATCTCATTAAATGTTCTTTGAGGAAAGAATTTCCAGTAATGGATGGTAATGTAGCATAATTTATTTAAACATTTTCCCACTGTTGAGTAGTTTTTAGCTACTGTAAATAATGTTCCAAAGTATTTTCATGTACATAAATTTTTGTGTTTATCACCATTTCCTTGGGATATGTTTCCTAATGGCTAATTAGCGGGTCAAAGAGCATGAATGTGTACATGCTTCTTGCTCTGTATCACCACATTGCCCTTTAGAAAGGTTGTAAAAACGTACAACTTCTCAAATAGCGTAGGAGAGTCCATGCCTATGCACTTTCTTTTCCTGTATGGGTAATTTCATTCAAGATCACTTTGCTAAACTGACAGCGAAAAAAGCATGCTGTTGTTTCTTATTTGTCCATTTATTTATTCATTTATTTTTAAAAGATGTATTTACTTGAGGGTTGAGGGGCAGAGGGAGAGGGAGAATTTCTCAAGCAGACTCCCCACTGAGTGCAGAGCCCAATGCAGGGCTCCTTCTCATCTGAAATCATGAGATCATGAGCTGAAATCAAGAGTTGGACCCTTAACCGACTGAGCCACCCAGGCGTCCCTATTTGCCCTTTTAGATCCTTACAACCAGAAGAGGCACAGTGTATCTGTTTCCTTGGATTCTGAGAGTTCGTGTCACCATCTCTTGAGCTATAATTCAACTCTTTTTCATTGAAAGTCAAGTCCAGGTACCAGATACTTCCACAGCAACCTCTCTGAGCTCCCCAAGGGGAATTTACTCACACAAAGTCAACAGTGTCCAATTCACTGACTATTTTGCAGGCCTGACAGAGGAAAGAGTCAACATTGTACAACTTACTGCAAATGACTCCCATTTTCTTGGGATGCTGTGTTTACCTTCGTGTTCTGGTCTTCTTCTCACTGTTTCCCCAGTGTCCAAGGTCTTCTTTTAGTTCTTCCTACATGTAGCCCTCGATCTCACCAGGTTCTCCCCAGTCCTTCTTAGCCAATTAGTGACCCTAATATGTTAACTGGCCTTGCTCTTTGAGGTCCTCGGGCCACACCCCCAAGGGACCTATCAACATATTTTCCCATTAGGAGGGAATGCGACTTTTGTGTATCAGCTGCTAAGGGAACATTTTCTCCATATTGCTTCAGAGGCATTATGCACAGTTTTTGGTAAAATTAAAAATGATGTATTTCCTAGGTCAGGTTTCCAATTTCTTCTTGGGGTGTGGGGTACTCTTAGGATCAGCATTTATAAGGGTGTAAAAGAAGCAGGATTGGGCAGAGGGAGCAGTTGAGCTGTAATGTAATTGCAACAGAGGCCTCAGGAGGTCCAGTGGGGAGCTCTGAAACTGACCTGGTTCTTCAGAGTTGCCCCAAATTGAGGCAAGGGGGATAAACCTTTGTACCCCACACCCACGGACCAGCCCTTGGATGTGGCCACCCTCAAGAGAGTGGGAATAGCTTTGGGCAATTCCTACCTACTAAGATCAGGTCCTGGAGAAAGACTCAGCCAGGAATCTTTTTTTTTTTTTAATAAATTAATTTTTATTGGTGTTCAATTTACCAACATACAGAATAACACCCAGTGCTCATCCCGTCAAGTGTCCCCCTCAGTGCCCGTCACCCATTCACCCCCACCCCCCGCCCTCCTCCCCCTCCACCACCCCTAGTTCATTTCCCAGAGTTAGGAGTCTTTATGTTCTGTCTCCCTTTCTGATATTTCCCACACATTTCTTCTCCCTTCCCTTATATTCCCTTTCACTATTATTTATATTCCCCAAATGAATGAGAACATACACTGTTTGTCCTTCTCCGATTGACTTACTTCACTCAGCATAATACCCTCCAGTTCCATCCATGTTGAAGCAAATGATGGGTATTTGTCGTTTCTAATGGCTGAGGAATATTCCATTGTATACATAAACCACATCTTCTTTATCCATTCATCTTTCGATGGGCACCATTTTTTTTTGACAGGAAGCAGGATTTATTGGTGGGCATGAATAGGGTTCGGGTGGTGCAAGGTTCTCATGAGTGGAGAGCCCTCCATTTGTCCAAGGGGCCACGATTAGGGATGTACTTGACCCCACAGCCATCTGGGATGAGCCGCTTTTCGGCCACCATATCTTCAAATTCGTCCGCATTAAACTTAGTAAAGCCCCACTTCTTGGAGATGTGGATCTTCTGGCGGCCAGGGAACTTGAACTTGGCCCTGCGTAGGGCCTCAATCACATGCTCCTTGTTCTGCAGCTTGGTACGGATGGACATGATGACTTGGCCAATGTGGACATGGCTGCTAGAAACCGAGTTTGGCTACTGTGGACATGGCTGCTAGAAACATCGGGGTGCAGGTGTCCCGGCGTTTCATTGCATCTGAATCTTTGGGGTAAATCCCCAACAGTGCAATTGCTGGGTCGTAGGGCAGGTCTATTTTTAACTCTTTGAGTAACCTCCACACAGTTTTCCAGAGTGGCTGCACCAGTTCACATTCCCACCAACAGTGTAAGAGGGTTCCCTTTTCTCCGCATCCTCTCCAACATTTGGTGTTTCCTGCCTTGTTAATTTTCCCCATTCTCACTGGTGTGAGGTGGTATCTCATTGTGGTTTTGATTTGTATTTCCCTGATGGCAAGTGATGCAGAGCATTTTCTCATGTGCATGTTGGCCATGTCTATGTCTTCCTCTGTGAGATTTCTCTTCATGTCTTTTGCCCATTTCATGATTGGATTGTTTGTTTCTTTGCTGTTGAGTTTAATAAGTTCTTTATAGATTTTGGAAACTAGCCCTTTATCTGATATGTTATTTGCAAATATCTTCTCGCATTCTGTAGGTTGTCTTTGAGTTTTGTTGACTGTATCCTTTGCTGTGCAAAAGCTTCTTATCTTGATGAAGTCCCAATAGTTCATTTTTTCAGCCAGGAATCTTTAGCAACCAATACTCTAGGAATGAGGGAATAAGTGCCTTGGCTCCAAAGGGGGATTTGGGTGATTTTCCTGGAGACTATTATTTTTGGGATATACCTACACTGGAAAGTTTTTTTACTCTAAAGTATGCTTAAGAACTAGGCTGGAGGTGTGTGTGAGGTGGAGAAGCAGAGTGATATCTTCAGAATTGGCCGGAGATATACGCCGGAACATTGGTTCTGGCCATTTCCTCTGCATAGTCTTAGGCACATCGCTTCCACACTCTGAGCTTTTGTTTCTTCATCTGTAAAATAGTGTAAATAACACCTTTCCCCTTAAGGGGGTACATAAGACAGTTAGTTAATTAAATAACTAATTTTGTCCATTGAGACATAAGAGAGTTTAAATATGATAACTAATGTCAGATAGTTAGCATAGTGCCTTGTGGCCCTTTGTAGATGCTCGATATGTGTCACCTTCCTTTTTCTTCCTCGTTCCGTATTCTTCAGCCTTTGTTTCAAGAAGTTTTTCCCTTTTCACAGTGTGGAACCTGTGTACCCTTACTATTGGTGAATAGTCCTTTGAGCACTTAGAAGCCTGGGTTGTAAAATTGGAAGCTTAGACCATTTGGTCTTTAACTTTAGCTCCAACGTTTTAAAGTTGTGTTCTAACGTTTGGTGGTGATTCAACGCTTCAGAACACACCACACCATTAATTCTTATCTCATTAGTATTCTTACTCTCATCACCTTGGTTTTAATGAGCTACATTGGCTATCCCAGTGCTCTGTGTATTCAGATGTTTCTGGTAATTAGAAGAATTACATGGAAGAAGTCTTTGGGGACAGTTGCAGGACCAACGGCACCAAATGATATTCCTTTGTTGCCAGCTTCTTGTGAAGGAAGCACTGATCCTGTATCTTTAAAAAGAGAATTCCTGCTGCATGAAGAACAGAGTGAGAATAATTAAGTATTTTATACACATTTGTTCTCTCTTCCTAACTAACTGATGAGCTTTTAGTTGACAGGAATGGTATCTCCTATTTTTTACAGGACCAAGTTCCTATTGATTGATAAGGCCTAAAACCCCCATGACCAATCATCACCACTGGATAGCATAGACATACCCACATACACACACCTACACACACACACACACACACACACACACACACACACACACTTTGATCACTCAACGTCATAGCAGCTGAGTCAATAAACTGCTGCTGTTTGTACTAATTGATCCTTAAAGATGGTCTGGGAATTTCTTTGTATATTGTGGACTTCCAAATTACCTGTGTTAGCTCAGGCTGCCGTAGTAAGATACCACAGACAGGGGTTTTTAAACAACAGCAATTTATTTTCTTACATTTCTGGAGACTAGGAGTCCAAGATCAGGGTTTTGGCAGGGCTGTTTTCCAGTGAGGGCCTCCCTTCCTACCTTACAGATGGCCTTTTTTCTGTGTACATGCTCAGCATGTGCACGTGTGCACAAGAGATCTCTATTATCTCTGCCTCTTCTTATAAGCATGTAGTCTGATTGGATTAGGGCCCCATCTTTATGACCTCAGTTAGTCTTAATTACCTCCTTTATAGGCCCTATTTCAAATACAGGCATTCAGGGCCTAGGGCTTCAACACATGCATTTTGCCAGCATTGGAAGGAGGGACAATTCAATCCATAATAATCTAATGCCTAAATTTGATCTTGGCTCTTCTATAACTACCCAAGTCTCAGATAGTCAGTTAGGCTAGTCACTGACTCTGTAATTTATCAGCTCTGTAAGAGTTAACTCTATATAACTATGCATGCACAGAGTAAGGTTGACTTGTTCTTGACCTTGTGAGGTCTGCACACTCAGGACCTGTTACATTTGGTTATTCTTGGTTTGAGATTTCTTTTTAATGGTTACTTGTGGGGCATTTAAATCTTCATCTTTTTGTTACTATTTTCTGTTCAAATGTCCTTTTGTATTTTGAACTTTTTTTCCTGAGCGCTGATTTGCTATGTTATGACTGGTTTTCAGAGATGAAGCTCTTCTGTTTCATTTAGGTTGAAAAGTTGCTGTTTGAAGCTGTTTTAGGTGAATTTTTCCTCCTCTTTCAGAATAAATAAGTTTTGTTTATTTATTTTCAAGGGAACTGTTTCTCAGAAAAATGATTCCCTATAGGTTTCTGATGGTTTTAATACATCTATAAACAAGGCCATTTCTTCAAAACTGCCATGTTACTTAAGAGAATGCTTTTATTTGTCTCCCTTCAAACCTTTATTTGAAAATAATTGATTTTTGGGATGCCTGGGTGGCTCAGCGGTTGAGTGTCTGCCTTTGGTCCTGAGATCGAGTCCTAGATGGGACTACCCGTAGGGAGCCTGCTTCTCCCTCTGCCTATGTCTCTGCCTTTCTCTCTTTGTCTCTCATGAATAAATAAAGAAAATCTTAAAAAAAAAAGAGAGAGAGAGAATAATTGATTTTTGTTTTACCTATTCAAATCTTGCTTTAAGCTGTGTTTACCCCTTTCCAAGTGCCTTGGAAGATTTGGCAGTAGATGGCCATAGCTGGCTGAAACCACTTGTTTTGAGCTTCATCTGGTGTTTTCCATTTCTGTTTGCATGGGGCTGGGCAGCAGAGCAAGGAAAGAAAGATGTCTGTGGTTGCTTTCCCAGCACAGGACCCTTTTGCAAGCCAGTTGCTTCCAAACTGAACAAATGATTCTTAAAAGACTCCATGTCCATCATGAGTTCAATGGTGTCACTGATTGCCTGCTATCTGGAGCAGAATGGAGCTTTCTAATCCACAGCTGCTAAAAGTATGGCCCATTCTGTGTGGTGGGCGAACTACTCACTGCTGGTCCGTGATACGTTAAAAATTTAGAGTAAGCATTTAAAAATGTTCATAGCAATTTGACATTGCAAACATTTCCAAGTGCGTATTCACTGAACTCCTTTTCTTGAGCAGGCTACAGATCTCCACTATTCAGTAGGATAGCCACTAGCTGCAAGTGGCTAATTAGCACTTGAAGTGTGGCTAGTCTGAACTGAGATGTCTGTAAATTTAAACTACACAGAGGACTTCAAAGGCTCATTATGATAAAAAGACTATAAAATATCTCATTAATAATGATTTTACATGTTGCAATGATAATATTTTACATATACCGGATTAAATAAACCACGTTATATAATTAAGATTGCTTGTTTCTTTTTTACTTTTTGTTCCTTTCTTTTTTTAAAAATAAATTTATTTTTTATTGGTGTTCAATTTGCCAACATACAGAATAACACCCAGTGCTCATCCCGTCAAGTGCCCCCCTCAGTGCCTGTCACCCATTCACCCGCACCCCCCCTCCTCCCACCACCCCTAGTTCGTTTCCCAGAGTTAGGAGTCTTTATGTTCTGTCTCCCTTTCAGATATTTCCTACACATTTCTTCTCCCTTCCCTTATATTCCCTTTCACTATTATTTATGCTCCCCAAATGAATGAGACCATATAATGTTTGTCCTTCTCTGATTGACTTACTTCACTCAGCATAATACCCTCCAGTTCCATCCACGTTGAAGCAAATGGTGGGTATTTGTCATTTCTAATGGCTGAGTAATATTCCATTGTGTACATAAACCACATCTTCTTTATCCATTCATCTTTCGATGGACACCGAGGCTCCTTCCACAGTTTGGCTATTGTGGACATTGCTGCCATAAACATTGGGGTGCAGGTGTCCCGACATTTCATTGCATCTGTATCTTTGGGGTAAATCCCCAACAGTGCAATTGCTGGGTCCTTGGGCAGGTCTATTTTTAACTCTTTGAGTAACCTCCACACAGTTTTCCAGAGTGGCTGCACCAGTTCACATTCCTACCAACAGTGCAAGAGGGTTCTCTTTTCTCCGCATCCTCTCCAATATTTGTGGTTTCCTGCCTTGTTAATTTTCCCCATTCTCACTGGTGTGAGGTGGTATCTCATTGTGGTTTTGATTTGTATTTCCCTGATGGCAAGGGATGCGGAGCATTTTCTCATGTGCATGTTGGCCATGTCTATGTCTTCCTCTGTGAGATTTCTCTTCATGTCTTTTGCCCATTTCATGATTGGATTGTTTGTTTCTTTGCTGTTGAGTTTAATAAGTTCTTTATAGATCTTGGAAACTAGCCCTTTATCTGATACGTCATTTACCAATATCTTCTCGCATTCTGTAGGTTGTCTTTGAGTTTTGTTGACTGTATCCTTTGCTGTGCAAAAGCTTCTTATCCTGATGAAGTCCCAATAGTTCATTTTTGTTTTGTTTCTTTTGCCTTTGTATCTTGCAAGAAGTTACTGTGGCCGAGTTCAAAAAGGGTGTTGCCTGTGTTCTCCTCTAGGATTTTGATGGAATCTTGTCTCACATTTAG